AGTTGTTTGAGTTCTTCTTCTAACGAGGCAAGCTTGGCAAGAACGACATCGTTCGAGGACCCGGTTGATGGTGTAGCCTCATTCACGGGGGCCCTGACGCTCTTTCTTTGCGAATTTTCACTCAACATCTCATACAAATTGTAGATTTCTTCCTCCGTATGGCTCCCTATGTCTCCACCGGCCGCATGATCGACCATGTATTGAAGAGTTTGGTGGAGACCATCGTAGAAGAATTGGTTGAGCACTCCGAGGCAAAATTGGTGATGTGGGCATTGGAGTTGATAGCCCTTGAATCGTTCCCAAGCTTCGTGGAAAGTTTCACCGATGTTTTGGCTAAAGCTAGCCATTTGGGTCCAGAGGTCGGTGGTCTTTTGATGAGAGTAGTACTTGCTAATGAACTTCTCGTAAACGGCTTCCCACGTATCGAGCGAGCTCGGAAGCAATGTCATGAACCAAGTCTTGGCTCGGTCTTTCAAGGTATATGGAAAGCACCCCATTCGGAGTTGGTTCTCAGTTAGGCCTTGGAGTGGGAATGTGTTGACGGTTGCATAGAAGTCTCGGATGAAGTTGAGAGCATCCTCTTGGGTGAGGCCATAGAATGATGGATGTTAGTTTAGGTGGATGGTCTTGAGATCATAGTTTCGGGCCGCCTCCCCGAGCACGAGGCACGAGGTGTTGTCTCCGATGATAGGTCGTGCGAAGTACCTCATGTTCGGGGGAGGTTGTGGAATTTGCTCTCCTTGTCCCGCCATAGTTTCAGTTTCGGGTTGCGGTTGCGGCTCCTCAATTATTAAGCTCAACGAAAAGGTCGATCGATGGTGTCTCTTCTACGGGTGCACGCCTTCGTCTACCTCACATAAACCCCAACAACAACTATACCCGTGAACGTATCAATGGGAAACGAGTTAAAGCTCAAGAAACAAACACAAATTATTGACAAAAAGCAAGAGAAATCAAGAGAAACACGGAAATTAAGCAAAAAGCACAAAAATCAAGAGAAAC